GATTAGGGGTGGTCAAAAATTGAAAACTTCCTTTTCGCCTCACTCGTGGCATGGAAGAGTTAATTAAAAGTTTTCATGGAAAAGATATATATATATATATACATATAACATGAACATCATAGGATCCATCGCCGGAGACGGGAAGGGAATCAAAGATCCTATATCTAGAAAATTTGTTGTAGGAAACAACGAGAGTACCCACTTTCATTAGTCGGGTGCTGGTAATTCTATCTGACCAATGCTCGAACTGTAAATCTAGACTATGGAAAAAGTTAATAATCGTAAAATTCGATATGAGATTTGTCTGATGGAAGTGTTGTTAGTGTTGTCATCATTCAGGATATCTGCTAGGCTGTGGTGACTTCAAGGAGCTTGCACCAATGGATTAGGCCTCTGTCTTTAGAGTCAAAAGATCTAACGCTGAAGATAGGGAAGGGAGCAAAATATCTTATACTTATAAAATATCAAGTGGAGGACGAAAGTATCCCCCAAAAACATATTTTCATTGGTCGAGCGCTGGATATTCTACCCGATTAATGCCCAAAGTGGCCTAAGTTTAGAAAACAAAATTAATTCATACACAACACATTGATTTATTTTCTGTGTCTTCGTGGTTTGTGTAATAACAATTCATTTCGTTCATCTGTGGTAGGTACTTAGGTTATAGGAAACCAGGGGCACTCGGAAATCGAAGTTTTCTCTTCATCCCGCTCATGATGTAATCAGAAGTCTTTGTAAACAAACAATAAAAACAAAACACATTAACTTTTTCCTTATTCAAACAACAGCTGCAAATGAAGCTGGAAAAGCCCAAACAACGACCCAATTATGTTGTGGCGAACTTTCTTTTTGGAGATCTTGTGAGATTTCTTTGCTAAACTTTAACTTCGAAGAAAAAAACCTGGGATCAGAGGATCCAGCAAAACAGAAATGATGATCTCATTCGTTCGTTCTTGGCAGGTATTTAGGTTTATTGTGGAAAAACCAGGGGCGCTCAGAGATCCAGCGATCTCTCTTCGCCCAACTCGTGAAGTATAATTGTAAGATTGCTACATGGAAAAACAAAACAAATCCGCTTGTATCATTGTTAAATGGTGTCATGATATAAAAGGCTGTTTAATGTAGGTAGTATTAATTAATTAATTTTGTGAGTTAATATTTTATAATTGTTTAGTGTTGTTTTTTATTTATAATAAGAGAGTTAAAAGCAGACGATTGTTGGAAGATGTGTTTATAATTCATTGATATTGAGACTCTCGAATGTTGCGTGCAATAAATTGACGTCGATAATATAGAGATTTCTAGAAAGCGAGCAGACGATTAAGTTATAAAAATAGTGTGAGACAAGCGGAAACAGTAGACAGACAGCAGCAGAAGAGCGTAAAGTCACGGCCAAGGAAAAGTTCGGTGTGAAGCTAACTGCCATAGACATGGTAGGCCTAACGTTTAATATTTTAGAGTAAGACTAACAGTAGAAAAGGAGATAAGAATAATAATTTATTCCGTCAAAGCGTGGTTCTAAAGTAATTAAATCAACCTGAGTGCACTTTGACAAAAGGAACAGAGGATAGTTTGAAGAAAAAAGACCAAACGATTACTGGAAAGCAGCATACGACTGCGGTAACTCGTGCCGCAACTGTAAGTAAATTATACACAAAATACTAGTGCCATAGAAATAGAGAAAGGTAGTTCGGCTTGTCAGCTGAATTTCTAAAGTAACAGAATGGGCATAAATGGACTTTCGACAACAAGAAGAGAACCATATAGCGTTTATGATATCCCTATGATCTCTATAGTGTAAAGAATTTGTTGCACCTACATTAAACTAGTTCCGAATATATATATTATTTAGGAAACAAATGGAGTGAGCGTTGTTCGTTTATTCTTGAATTTGTCACCAACAAGTCACAGACACCTATAGAAGAATCCTAAGCCCAACAGCAACACAGTATATATTTATACTATTAAGAAGTATAAGTAAAATTGGCGAACGACTGACTAATGGTCATATTAAGTTTTCTCATACTGGGGTGTTTGGATGTATCTAGCGCGAAGTACAACCTCCTCAAGAAGTCCGGGAAAATCTGGGATGTTCTGGTACTTGAATCATGCTACAGATTACAGATTACTTCGCTTTATTCTTCCTATTCTCAAACTAAACGGTCCTTGTGGGAGTCGGAGATCTGTAAATCTTATGCCTGGGCTGGGATCAATAAATTATGTGCCCGAGAAGTGGCTGTGAGAGGAAACGGATGTTCTCCGAGAAAACCCACTTTCACGCTCCAGAGGTCGATTTATATTACCTTGGCCGTGCCCGAATAAAATTGTTGTGGGGAAATAATAATCTCATGGTTATCCAAACTATCAGGTAGAAACGCAGCTGTAGCTGTGAGATTTGTGAGTTGAAGACAAAAATTATAGCAAAATAAAGTTGAGAGCGCAGCTGTAGGAGAAAACTTCAGTCAGAAGATATTGTGAAATCATCATAATGTTAAGAAACTACGTTAAAAAGTCAATTAAAGACAAAAATATAAAACACTATAACACGAGTGCTTTCGAAAGTTGGACCTTTATTCATCAGTCTACAGATCTAAATTACATCTGAGATATTTCATTCATGTATATTTTTCTTGTGGTACTTCTATTTAACCTACACAAAAAATATTTGAGTTTTGGACATTTTGATATCCTTCCCGTCTAAGTTAGGTCCTATGATTCCCTTACGTTTATTCAGTTAGAACCTATGATCCTCATTTTCTTCTTCTTCGCGGTTTCTTAATTTATTTAGAGCAAAGAAGATTCAAAAGAAGAATCAACACCATAATTCGATCCAAATCTGATAAACCTGTTTCAGCAGCTGGTTAGGCTTTTTCCACTTTCTTTGCGGCGGATTGTTTTGAGTAAGGCGAAAGTCAACAGTACTTTTCGATTGCGTTTCTAAGACCACGAGTAGGGCGAAGGGGAATTCTTAAATTTCCAAACATACAAAGTATTAAATTCTAAATACCTGCCAAGATTAAATAAACAAACAAATAGGTCCTAATTTCGTTAAAATCTAAGCCTTAATCACGGTTGAGAGCTGGTTGATGAGTCTCGATGTAGGAAGCTTCTTTGAGTTTTCTAATTTGACAGTGTTTCATAGCGGTCCCAGTTGATCAGTGTTGTAATTGTATAAGACAGATTTTCCGGATAAAGAAGTCTGGTGGCATCTTGATGTTTTCTGACTCATTGCTAAGTGGTTCTACCTTTCCGTTCTATGTAGGCTTTTCCACAAGAACAAAGTATTTTGTAGACTGTGTAAACCCTAAATATGTAAGCAATGTTTTAAACAACCGTTTTTATCTGTTAGGCTATCAGGATCTGCCAAAGTGATACGCACGTTTCAAACAATCCTTTAAGAATAACGTGGCAATAAGCTTAGCTGAAACAACATTTTAGAACAGGTAATAAAGGAAGTTTATGGGCAATGTTACAAAAATGTAGAAGAAAACAAGCAAGGTGAAACACCCGCTAAATTAAGATAAGTCTATTGACGAATACGAAAACAAAACGCTTCGAACAACAACTCTTCATTAGGTTTCTAGTGTAGAGAAGACAGCTTTTAAAAGAGATAGGGTGTAAAAAAAAAAGAAGATCAAAGAACACGTGTCTTGAAGAAAAGAGACTGCTTCGTTGAACTTTATTTACTTCCTCATCTTTCCACTTTTCCCAGTACCTAATCCATACATTTTTATAAAGATCTTTGGTTTACTTAACAATTTTCTTCAGTGAACACGTTGTTCTTTTCCCTATTCACTAGTTCGACCACTTAAGTGTCTTTGTATATTAAGCCTTTTTCTTAACCAATTTTTTTGCCTTTATAGTTACTTGTCTATTTTATTTTTCATGATTTTCTTTTATTCAAATACCATAACTTTCATTGTTGTATCTCGCTGGATGCACACGTTAAACATCTTAATTTGTATTTTCTTATTGTTGGTATATCTAGCTACTTTGTTGCATTGATCCGTGTTTTATATAAGAGATTTCTTTTGTTTTCATCAAACTAAAATAGAAAATATATTCTGTGATGTTGCGTCCTAGTGCTTTCTTTATTGACCACATCATCTGTTGTAGTTGCAGTTTTGTTTATTCAAATCTTATCATCATAGCTTAGGTCAGCAAAGCAAAGGAATATAATTTGGCCTCTTATAATAGTAATGTGTATATAAAATTTATGAGGGTTTTGAATCCTTTTTAACTCACCATATAATAAACCAAATTAATTTATGTGTGTGAATATTATTATGACATTACGCCTAATTTGATATTTGATATTATAGAACAAACCAACTTTTTCTTTCTTATACCCTGTCTCTTATAATAGTCGATTTATCCTTAATGGAAATACAATGAAGGGCTATTGTCCGAAAAGTTGTTATCTTACTTGTTAGTAAACTTATTTTAATTTGACGTGTTTTACGTTGTTTGTTTTTATATTTTAAAACAATAACAACGTCAAAGTGTTAAATAATTATTTTACTAGGTTCAAGCAAATACAGGTCAATGAGATAAAAAGCACTATTTTTTATTTAATTAAAATATGTGTTACAACTTAGGCCTTGAGAAAGTAGTGCCCCCCCCCCGCCCCTGAAGACCTAATGGATATGCTTTTTTTTTCAGAAATGTTATTAGTATTTTTATATATTTTAATTTTTTGGTTAATATATTAGTCATGGGCTTTACCCAGGGTTTTGGCTGTTAGAAATATTATAATTTAAAATAAGTTTTAATGAACACTGAAAAAAAAAGGGTAGGTTTAAAGGCCTAAGGGAATTAACGCAAACAACACCTTTAAAAACTCTCTTGTGGTTTAACTAAATATTATTTACAAAATGGTCATCTGACTGAAAATGGAATAAAAAAATATACGAACATTTTATAATGGTATGTGGTTTCCTCTTGTCACACTAGTTTAAATACTGAAATTGTTCTTAAGAATGTTTCGTTTTCTTTTGCAGCTCTGTAGCACAGCTCTTCTCTTCGGGGCCAACGGCGATGTTTATGACGAAGAAAGAGGAATCTCTATCTCTACCACTCCTGATTTGACAAACTGTGACACAAAACTTAATTTTTGTGAGAATGTGAGAGATTATCCCGAGTCAGTTTATTTTCTTATTTAGTCAAATCTATAATATTATTTACACTAAAGTGACTTTTCAAGGTCATTTTAATCATAGAGTAAGATACTATGTAGTTCTCCATGAACCAAAAAAGTTTGTTTATTAGCAAGGAAAAAATATTGAAAGCATTCACCATTTGGAAAAAACTTACTTGTTTCTTTCTTTGTTTCCGTACCATGGAGGGTGGATTTATAACGCTAGAACCAGGATTTCAATACCTGTTATGAGGCAGAGCACTGATAGCCCATTGAGTAGCTTTGTGCTTGATTATCAACAAATAAACAAACTGTATCATGGGGTCTTTACAGAAGTGAAAACTGATGGTTGACAATAGAGTTTTTCTATAGGTCTTCTTACAATGAATGAACAAACTTCTTTAGTGGCCCAGAAATCATCTGGAAGTTAAAATGTTAAATGCTCCAAAGGTTTTATCACCATTAAAAGGGCATAGATGTTTGATTAAACATAAGATAATATATATAATGTAAGAAATACAGAGAATTCAAAATGCGAAGAAAGATATAAAATTGAAAAGATTTTGGACAATCCACATTTTCTGGGTATCTAGACATTTGTTTTATATTTTATTTAAACATACATTTCAGAAACACTATTTTTATTAATATTTCTCAAAAATACGTTTTTAAAGACAGGTTCTGTAGGTTTCTGCTTTTTTATTCTCTTACAAATCAATGTAAATATTATGGAAAAAAAAGCACATTCGTATGTTTCTTTAATGATACTTAAATTCCGTTAATAACGATCATTAATCACACTTTATAAGAGTAATGTTCCAGGTCTAATATATCCTTGAAAAGTGTTTTACATCGTTGATCGAGTTCAGCCTGATAGTAATGATTGCACCCGCAATTTGCATTGTAACAATATGCTTCAGAGGATAGCGAGGTCAAGGTTAAACGATACAGCATGGAAAACTTTCCACAGACCGTCCACTTTCTCATAGAAACAAACGATGATTTCGAGGTGAGGCTGGAAGATTGTAAGTCCTCCGTTTGGGAACTTTGTCAACTTCAAATCTATATTATTATCTTGCTAATAGCAAGAATTTCATCGCAATGAATTTTTGGGCTGGAGGAGAGAAGAGTCTTTTTAATTTTCGCCTTCTCTATGCGGATGAGGTCATTACTCTGGATTGGATTGTGAAATGGTTTAGTTTGCTGCGTTTCGCTACGATGGAAAGCACTGAATGCTCTTTGATATGTTGTGTTATTTAACTCTACGTCAGTTAGAAATCCTGTGGTATCAATTTTGTTTCTTCTGAGAATACTTTTTTCTTGTAAAATTATTTCACGCATAAATTTACTCGTAGTGAATTTACATTTTCAAATAGTTGGAAATTTTGAACTAAATATGTCGTCCAATACACCAAGGCGCGCAATGCGGTGACACACCCCTGTTTTAGTTTGTACAAATCATTCAAATAAAGTGCGAATAGCCCTCTATATAACACGTCAGTTTTGTATATGTAATTAATACATCTTTTTTCACCTGTAATTAATAAAAATGCTAGTCTTTGAAAGAAATTACATCTCTTTATTTAGTTCCATTTTTAGGATTTCAGAATTTTCGTAGAATATTGTCATCTGGCGAGACCTTCAAGGAATATTTACTTATTCGTTAATTTTTCGTTTGTCTTTCGACAAGGAATATAAATAAAATCAGAGCAGTTAAACGGTTGACATAAATCCCTTGGAGGATCAAGGGTATGTTTAAGAAGTTAAAATGCTAAAACTGAAGCTCGACAGAGTGCAGCTATTCCATTTGTAGCCTTATACTAAGAAAACAACAGTTAACACAATAAATTTCTAACGGAGCACAGTAAAAAGATAAAGCATCAGAATATACATTGACGACAGAATACAACATTTGTAATAAATACAACATTGATAAAAAAGTACATTTCTGCTAAATAAAGCACTGATCTCAAGATACAACATCTTAATGGGTACATCATTGATGATAACATACAACATTTCTAATAAATACAAAATTTGTGGTAACATAAACTTTTTAATAAATACAATACCGATGACAAGATACAACGTTTATAGTATATACAACATTAATGAAAAGATACTGTGTTACTAACAGAACACAAAATTGATTGCAAGATATTATGTTTTTTAAAAGTATTATATTGTTGACAAGATATAGCGTTCCTACCGGAATATTGCTCTGGACGCAGAATACAACGTATTTAAGAGAGTTAAACATAATAAACACAATATATCGTTGATGACAGAGTTTTACATAAATAATACAACAGAGTACAACATTGATTAGATAACATAAATTGATTTTCTTGCTTGTTTATTTTATGAGTATACAGGATCAATCTTAATTGATTGTAGATTAATTTTCTTTAAAAATCTGAAGAATCTGTAGAAATACATATAACTGTTTAAATGACTTTGTGAAGTATTGATCAATATTTTTTTTACAAACAAGAATTTGTTGATGAATAACCAGACTCTTGTATTTAGAATCTTCATAACAAGACGTGTTGGTTCAACATTTGCGGACTATTTCAAAGCACACGTTTTTGGTAGAGGAGCATTTATTGAAAGACCATCAAGACATGGTGACGAAAACCGGGCTTGTGAGTATAAGCAACACATTGCGAGACCGAGAGCAGCAAAAAACGCAGCAGGAGAATGGCGTTACATAGTGAACAGTGAACAAAACAAACTGGAGCAGTATGTGGAAGTTGAAACGTGCAGGTATGGAATAAATTCATGGATAGTTCAGTTGTTGCGTGATATTTGAATTTAGTAATCATGTTACTGTAAAATAATACAAAAATCACGTGTTTCAATTCTTTTTTTCATCAATTATTTAATCAATTCAGGTGACTAATCATCCATATGTAAACTATGAGAAAGTCTAAGAAACGTCTTAAGAAACACAAATGTTTTACCAAAAACGTTAGAACTGAATATTTTTTTTGTTTAAGTCACTCGTATCTTTTCATATTAGTTTGTTTGTTTTTAATTATGCACAAAGCTACACAAGGGCTATCTGTGCTCTGCCCACCACGAGTATCGAAACCCGGATTCTAGCGTTGTAAGTCCGCAGACATACCGCTGTGCCACTGGGGGGCTTCATATTAGTGAAAATAATCATATTCACACAATTTGTCTCTCTCTTTTATTTTTCTTATTACTTAAGCCCAGTATTCTACGATTTGAGTTTATTGACTTTTTAAGACTTTTTTCACCATGACCTTCAAGACTGAAAATCGCTTTATAATTATTTCAGATTGTTATTATATTTTAACAGAAACACTATCATTCTGTGTTATAAGATAAAATTGAAAATTACAACTCCTACATTTATGAATATATTTAAAATTCAAGCAAGGAACTGTTGTTTCTTGTTCTTTTTTCCACCAATAATATTCTGTGTTACCGCAGTGTTCTAACTACAGAAGTTCGTGTACGGTCTTAACTACTTCAGTTGTATAGCTGTTTAGATATTTACAGGTAATTATTCAGTTTATTTAAGCTTTTAACACGTAATTTTAGAATAGATATTCTGTATATAAGCATTTTATGACATTTTTTAATATAGCTTTGTACTTAAGGATAGCTTCAAGAATTTATTTCGATAAGTATATCTTTGAGTATCGGTTTAGTAATGATTAAAATGAAATATAACATGGATAATTTATTATTATTTACAGATCTGAGGGCGATTCTTGTGCTAACGTTGAGAAATTTATGATGCCCGGATATTCCACTCGCTGCGCACAGTTGTTTGTGAAAAAAGCAATGGTAGCTGTTGACGAGGCTAGTTTTCGGGCGTATACTGATGACTTTGTATTCCCATCAGCCTGTGTTTGTTATGTGAAACCAATTAGGTGGCTTCGTCAGTAATAGTACTTAGAACAAAATTATATTAAATACTTACTTAGAGAAAAGCTTCTAGACGATGTTTAAAAATGCTGATGAAACAACGACTTATAGAAGACCAGCTTATTGCCTTTGTCTTATCCCTTTAGTGTGTTTTATTTGACTGAAATAATGCAAATAGTAGAATTTAAAAAAATAAAACACCATACTCAAGTTTTGTGCAGAAGAAGTTTTTTAACTTTTCTCCCTACAGCAATGCAACCAACAGAAAAAAATGTTTTTGATAAAAATCACACAAACTACAGTTGCATTTTTCATATTCATTCATTAAGGAATTTATTAAACCAGTGGTGTTTAAAATAGTATTTGTCTCCCACGAATCACTTAAAGCCAGCTGCAGAGAACTGGTATTGCACTATAGGTTTGCAGGAAAGTAGTACACAAGAAACAGAAAGAAATCTGAAATATTATTTTTTACATAATTTTGGTGTCAGTTATAGTCAGTTTAGATTTGAGGAAAAAAAGAAACTGAAGGCTGCCATTTTTACCACAAACACTGAATCTATTGGAGTCCAAAGCTTTACCAACTTCTAACAGCCAAACACTAACTAAGAAAAAAATATTGTTATCAACTAATTTCTCAAAATCTTTAACATGCCAATGCTATTTGTAACCGTTTTTCGATGTTTTTACCACCATGTTAAAAGGTTAGCTTTCTTCTATTCAAAGGTTACTAAGGAAGGATGCTATTACATAAAATAGGTGTATCATGCAAAGTAATTCAACATAGGAAAAAATATTTGATACATATATAATATCTCTTCTTTCAGAAAATTTTGGTCTCCAGTGTCACAGCTATAATTCTCAAAGCTTATAAGGCTATAAAATTTGGATTTCGATACCCGCAATGGACAGAGCATAGCCGGCCTACTGTGTAACATGTGTTGAAAATAAACAAATAGTACAATGTTACATAAAAAATAAGCTAATACATTTTAACTGTGAAAGAGATAGTTTGATTAATCACTGGTAAAGTAAATAATTAGAAAAATATATTTGAAGTCAGTGAAAGCAATCAACATTTATCAAAAAGAAACATTTTAAAATGATAGACAAAATGAAATCGTCTATTTATATACAACTCAAATTATGAATTGGATAAATCATATAAGGGAGTAGTAGTTGTTCTCACAGATATTAAACCCTACCTTCTCTTTTTTATATAGTTAGCGAGGTCACGAAATTTTGAATCTCAGTATCTGTCTATAAATTTGTTTGACTACGTACATATGACAAGAATAAAATTTTCATTAGTCTCAATTACTATTTGACAATTTGGCTTTTTGGAAGCAGCTGTTCTGTTTTTGTTTTTGTTTTGTTTCTTTTTTTTAATTTTGATGTAATATCAATCCATATTCTAAAGTTTAATTAACTAGAAATACACTCAAACTTATTTCTTGTTTTAAAAACACAAATTGAGAGGAGAATCGGAAATAATTTCATTTTCATTACCACCAGTTTTTATTCTGCTTTCATAATTTCTTGACGTCAACAACAATTCGATTTTATAAAATTACAAACTGTTCGCACCGTATCGGAGACGTATAATGATCTCGCAAACGACATACAACTTTATAAAGTATACAATTATAGGTTTTATTTTAAAAAAAGACCCTGAAAATTATTATGCAACTAATTTTTCTCTTTAAACAGGGGAAACAAAGTTAAATAATCAAATGAATATTTTAAAGACTTGGTTTCTTTAAAAGTTACTTGCCTCTAGCCTACTAAAACAAACAAACAAGGAAAACATGAAAGAGTGTTAAAATTATTATTTGTTTTAACCACACATCAGTTTTGAATTAACAACTATTTGCTTGTAAATTCTAATATTCCGCGGAAACCATCTTCGTCACAATTATTTTTTCATTATTCTTCAACGGACTAGTTGGTAACGTATTTGCGAAATTTTCATTTCTATGTAAGTCTATGGTTACAAATAGGATACGAATAACTGCTTTATAAAAGTTATTATATGCGGAAAATAGATAATTTCATTCAATATTTGACTTATCTCTTTAAAACGGGTGTTGTAGTATGTAAATTCACTTAATATCATGTCTTGTTTCGTTTTAAGCTTAAAAATATGTAAGGTGTGGTGAAGATACGCAGTTGGCCATATCATTCACTGTCTGATGATTTGACGAAACAGGTAATACAGATTATTAAGCATCGGGTTTTTGAAGTATCTTAACTTTATATGGACCAGAGAGCACTTTTTCATATGTTGGATATACATCTGCTTACCCAATTTCACCATTTAAGTAAAAGCAATAAATCTAACCCCATTTCAAGGTTTTTAAATCTGAAAATATGCTATGATTACTTTTATGTCATTTGTTGGATTCATGTAGAGTAAATGACAATATAGAAAAAACTAATATCCTATATTACGTTTTTGTGCAGCTCCGAGGTTATCAACCTTTTTCAGAATTTTTCTACGCATCCAAAAGCACAGGTTTTTATTTTATAAGAAAGTACCATCCATTGGGAATGCAATCATCTCAGTATTGTTTCTTTTATAATTTTCCTTCTATGTGTTGAATTTGATCATTACAGTAATTTTTCTCACCCTTTTTAAGATGTCAGAGCACGTGGTCTGAACAACTACTAATAGCTACAGGTAGAGTTTAGATACCATTGGATGGAGAAGGTTATAAACTATGTTTTTCAATGTAGAGTAAACAAGTGGTGTAAGAAGTAACTTATAGTTTTTTGGGAATGATTAGCTTTAGCTCTTGAAGAGAACAGCCAAATTTAGTATGAAGTTAAGAAGATTTACAAACAAACCACACAGCTGGTAAGTTTTATAGTATACTCATTTATGCTTTTCATTCCAGAAAATATTTTTGTCGTAACTTATATTTTTTTGAAAAATACGGAAATTTTCTTCCCTGACAGGGCATCAGGTTCTAGTTAGGTTTAAAGAGTGCAAAATATTTATTATGTATTGAAAATAATCTATATTCGTTAAGCATAAATTGTTCTAAGCCAAGAATATCGTTTAAACCTTTGTGAACTTTCGTCATGTTGTTTTACGATTTATAGCCGTATGTAGTGATTGCAGAAATCGGTAAAATAAAGTATCAAAAGTAAATAAATTAATGAAAAGAAATCAAGTGGAAACTGATCGTATATATAAAATAGAACTTTCTAATAAACAATAAAATTAAATTAAATTTTAAGGGGCAATATCTTATTTTAAAGATCTGTTTCAATATTTCATAATGTAAAAAGTAATTAAAAGAAAACTAAATAAAAATTGTATGATTTTTTAACCTAAGCACAGATAATACTTAGTAAATGTTTACTTCGATACATTGTAATGGAATAGTGTGCAGCAAAGCAAGTGTAGCCCAACTATTTATGAACATTGCTAATGTTTGGCTGGGAAATATAGTTTTCTATGATATGATGCTTGGTGCAACATTAGTGTATATGTGCCACAGGCTTTGGAAGAATATGTGGAGTGGTTGAGACCTGTGTTAGCTGAGAACGTGAATTTGTATATCAGCAGTGAAGAAATGAAAGTTTAAGCAAACTGGACAAGGCTTATGCATGTCACTATGACGTGGAAGGAAACTGTCACTGACTGGAATGGACCTTGTCTCATACTCTGAAAAGCCAAAGCTCAGGAATAGAAGTTGAGACTGACGAGTCAGATAGTATTAAGAGTACTATTTTGTCTGATTTTGACTAAATTGAAGAGAAGAAAGGTGCTGGAAGTACTTATCTGTGTTCATGAGAAATTAGAGAGGGAAACACTAATGAAGGAGCTGCATGACAGCTTTGATAACCAACCAAGCCTAATCAATATAGTTGGAAGTGATTGCAAGAACGGAAATTAGAATCTTTGTTATTAATAGGTTAAGAACCAAAATGAAGTGACATTCCTTGCTTTAAAAGATATTAAGCAATGTTTCAGAATGGCATTTATGCACAATATCAAGTGATAGTCACTTGATTACATCGTTAAGGCTGTTTGTTTCTCACAGAATTAATATGCTTATTTTCTGAGCTACTGAGCAGAGTTTCATTGTAAGTATAGGACAGGATGTGATGATTACTCGGTTATAATACAGTTAGGACAGCTGACGTTAACGGATGTAATGCTTATACCATCAACAGTTTGTACGACTGAAGATGACTTCAAGAAGTTCAACATTATTTGTTGAAAGAGTGTTGTAACTATTAATTTTTCAACTATAAACCAGTGTTTTGTTAGCTTGACTAGCGAATCCGTGTTTCTACAACAGGCAGTTGCCATCCATCTAACAAAGTTTCATCATGAATACTCTGTCTAAACAGTCTATCAAAGAAAATTTGGAGTCTGCTTTCGGAAAATCCCCGTAAAAGTGTTTTCGCGAAATATCGGGTTTCCTAAGAAGTTGAGTGAAAAGTGTTACCTCTGTGCAAACCATTTAGAAGTCGATGCGGTTTAGGAGGAGATATGTGACACAAAGATAAATAGACACAAGACACACACACTGAATTTTATTATATAGATATAATACATCATGTGACAGTAACTTGAATATAACATAGCTAAGATAACTGATATTATTAGATGTAATACTTAGAACATTTAAAGTCGGCATGACTAGAAATGATTATTAGATTTTTTCATGCTGAAAGGATTTTCCAATGATTGTTTGCCAAGGACTCAGATAGGACCTTGGGATTACTATTAGCAGCATGTTCATGCAAGAAAACGTTTGTGATTGCTCGTGTGTATGAAAATTAGAAACTTAAATATCATTTATTCACATGTGTATGAGATCTGAACATGACTTCCACATGTAGGACGAGGGAAATGCGCTATTAATTAGCAGAGGAGATGAATCAAGCTACACCAAATTTTAGTAGAAAAGTCGTTGTTTAATTAGGTTGCATCTGTATTTATTTATTTTAATACCAACTATACTGGATCAACTAACAGATTGTGGTGTGATAGAAATAGCTGATGTTTGTGGCTGTCTAGATCAGTAATGAATTTGATATTTGCTTAATATGTA